GGACTTGGTCCAGAGAGCGTCCAAATGCATGTACAGTGTTGTGTAGTGGAGCGAGACCCATTGTCTGTGTTGTGCACAGCCAGCTGTCTGCTGTCTGTGTTGCTTTCCATGTGGTCTCCTCGATCTTCAACCACAATGAAGCGCCTTTGAGACGTCAACAACAGTCAGTGGCAGTTTGTTAGAAGTGTCTGTAACACTACCGATCGGCCGCGCTCAGTTGGTACTCCCACAAACTGTTGAAATATGAATCAGACCGAAGATCAAACCCAGATACAATGAGATGACCAGAATAAAATACTTCTGAATAACCTGGGGCTGATCAGTTCAGCGATGATATCTCCAGGTTGTCGCGCTGGAATCTATAGTTAAAGGCAGCACTCGAGTGACAGAATACGGACCTGGCGTCAGGCGGAAGGGCGAAGAGGTGCTGCCGGTATACCTAGATCAACCCACCATGCTCAAGTTTTCACATATATAAAGCACACGTAGCAATGTAGCTCACAACAGCACATATATCACACAGACATGTCTCTGCTGTATTGGAGCACAAACACAGTACACAGCAGCTTCAACACGATACCTGGCGCCAGGCGGAAGAGGGAAGAGGTGCTGCCAGTATACCTACATCAAGTTTTCACATGTATCAAGCACACGTAGCAATGTAGCTCACGCAGCACATATATCACACAGACATGTCTCTGCTGTATTGGAGCACAAACACAGTACACATGTTACATACTGATGCCACACGGGTCTCTTTCGGACCCCACCACTAGGCTAAGGGGTACTTAGGCCGGCCCAGCCAAAGGCCGGACCCTTCTCCCAGTAGACCGCATTGAGGCCACCGGTTGGTTTCCTGCAGCAGACCAGGTCTAGGCCCAAACGACATTACCGTTGGGCGTGGCGGCGCTCTTGAGGCTGCCGCTCGCTGGTCTGATCTGAATCGTCAATCTTGACGACTCAGATCAGGGCGCGCTGGGCAGCATTGAGGCCGACCAGCCGCTGGACGGTACTTAGGCCGGTCCAGCGACCTTTTCCAGCAGCTTGGAGCAGCGGCATTGAGGAGCAACCGTGGTGCGCTATTCTGGGTTTAGCGCAGCGCTGGGAACTGCAGCGCTAAGTTTAGCGCACTGCAGCACAGAAGAACGAGGAGGGAGACTTACCTGACAGCAGCCACGAGCGCCATAGCTCCCAGCAGCACGGCCGTCTCCTGCAGCAGCCAAGGCGTCACCTTGTCCCATCAGGTAGGGCCTGGCGCAACTCGCCATCTCCGCTCATGCTCTGCCCCTCTCTTCTTCTTCTTCTTCTTCTTCTTCTTCTTCTTCTTCTTCTTCAGACTGGAGACTTTTATACGAGTTGGACAGAGATCAGTGATTGGACTTCGGTGGTAGGAGGCTGTGATACTTACCGGATTCGAGACATTGGAGATAGTCGGGATTGATACCAGGTGGCATCACAGATCGGACACCGGCTATATTAGGATTCTGTACCTCCGACATTGGTGACTTATGTGCACGACATTCTGACTTTGTTCGGTGACATTTTGGACTACCATATCGGTGACCTTCTGGATTCTATCTTGGTGACATCTGGCGCTGCCTATACCTCCCACCTCCATCGTCTCTCCTCCCACCATTCATCTGTGTATGATTGTACGGGGCCTGAAGCATCGTCTATGTATGGTCTTCAGACCCCCTCCATCTCACGATTGCTTGTGTGTCGAGTGATATTTGGGTGAGTGCAGTCTATGTGAGTCAGTCCATTTCTCAGACTTCCGCTGTCTACATGCTCATCCTATATTGGTTGATCTTTGGTTCTGCCCATACTTGGTGAAGTATTCACTAGTATGCAACAACACAGCAGCTTCAACACGGTACCTGGTGTCAGGCGGAAGGGCGAAGAGGTGCTGCCAGTATACCTAGAGTCAACCCACCATGCTCAAGTTTTCACATGTATCACGCACACGTAGCAATGTAGCTCACGCGGCACATATATCACACAGGCATGTCTCTGCTGTATTGGAGCAGAAACACAGTACACAGCAGCTTCAACATGGCACACGGGGAAAGAATAGTACGCCAATTGAGTTGGACACGCAAAGCAGGCTGCGATAGTGAAGCACGGGACACTGGTTCATTCCGGGTTGAGATGTCGAGGGATTCCCCGCCTCCTTTCGCATTAATAATAGAGCAAAATGTTCTCAAAAAAAAAAAAAAACATGGCACACGGCACTCAACATGTGACATAACTCTGGTATCGACATAAGGTTTTGTATTATTGTACAGGGACGCTGGAAGCGATTTCCAGCAGGTGCAGCTCCCCACCAATAGATGGAGCCTTCACTGCAGGGACCTGCTTAAAGGGGATGCTCTTACCACCCCGTTAAGCAGATCTCCCTGAAACATGAAGTTAAAAAAAAAAAAAAAAAAACGGCGGCTTGTCGCCCAGACTCGCCCTCGGTTTTTTTTTTGTTTTTTTTTTTTTCCCGGGGAGAGACAGAGATCAGATGGAGGTGGGCCAGGTGGCTAAAGATCAGGAACCTGGGCAAGCTCTGAGACCAGATGGAGGTGGCTAAATATCAGAAACCTACCATCTTCACCCGAATAGAACGCCCGTCGCCTGGCGATTATAGCTGTATTTGATGCAACTTCAGTCCAGATACGACCATAATTACCGGGCGTTCTATTCGGGCGAAGAAGGTAGGGCAAGGTCATCCACAGAGTTTGGACAAAAAGAGGAGGGCTTTCACAAAGAATTGGCTGCTGGAGGGTCAGATAGCGACGATCGCAGGCAAGAGATTGAGATGGAAGAAATGGGGGACACGCCTGAGGGATCGGTGCTGGGCCCTCGAGCGTCTTGATTTGCACGCAGAGCCGACAGACTTGGCCTCAGCCAAGTCTGAGTGGATTCTGAGGGGACGGCAAGCTGACTGCAATGCCCCCACTCAGTGGAGCAATGAATGCTGATCAGGGGTTCCTTCATCCATTCGGAAGGCAGGCTTAAAAAAGAAACAGTAATAATAATTTGGAGTCTTTTTGGACCATTTCTGGGTTTACGTATGTCGTCCTTGCATAGGGGTCATGTTAATTACCCTTCTCTGTGTTGTTCCAATCTTAACGGATGTCCCGGAGGACGCGGAAGGAAGCTTTCGAGTGGGTGTACGTCGTCATATCTTAAGAGTCAAGACTTTTCGGGGGA